ACACCAGGATTAAAAGCCCTATCATGTATGGTTCAATTTTGTAAATAAGTACTCAGAAAGAAGAACAGCAAAATGAAGAGTGAGTTTAAGATTAAGTTTTATTTGTACTTTCTGTACTTCCTATATTTTCCACGATGAACATGTACTATTTTTCTGAATAAAAAAAATAAAGAGTAAAATATATCAATTTAAAGAACAGTGAGCTGGGACCAACAATGGTGTAGTAGCTATGTTGCTAGATTCCCACGTAGCCGACCAGGTTCAAGTCCCGGACCCAGTGGCTTAAACTCACACAGGGCACGTGTGCATGTGTGCCCAAGAACCTGAGAGGAGAATAGAGGAGAAGGGATTGTGGTGTGGCCATCCCCTCTGGGGGTGATTTCTCACTGTCTCTCTGTCTCTCTGTTTTTCTTTCTGGCAAGTGCACACGCCCTATACCAAAAACCTCTCCAAAAAAACAGTGAGCTAAATACTGGTCAGAAAACGACAGTGTACATCCTGGATAAAAGGCTATAAGGTATCTTTTCACAAAAGAGAAGAAAAATTTAAAGAATGGTATGCCCAACTGTTTAGGGTAATACCTCAAGAATTACAGAGACCCACTTTAAGCAAATCTGCCATATAAAAACATTAGGAAGGGCCTGTCCCCTTTAGCCCAGTGGTTAAAGGAGCCCAATCCTACATGGCCAACCATGGTTCAAATATTGACTCTGTTGGCTTGAAAAAGCACACCAGGCATGTATGCGCATGTGCCCAAGATCCTGATGGGATGGGGAAATGGAGAAAAAGGGATTACAGTGTGGCCCTCTATCCTAGGGGAGATTTCTCACTCTCTGTCTCTCTGTCTTTCTGGTGAGCGCACGGGCCCCATAGCAGCCCTCTGGCAATAAAAAAAATCATTAGGAAAATGTAGATTTATACAGATAAATGTAAATATTTATAGTATTTTAAATCATATTTTTCTGATAATACAATACATGCTCATTATAGAAAACTTGAAAAAATTAAAATAATTCATAATCTCACAACCTATACATAACAAAATATAAGCACTCTGGTGTATTTTTCTTGCATATTTCTTTATACATCTTTATATTTTTTAAAATATATAACTGATATCACATTGTAATTCTAGCCTATCTCCTGTTTTATGTCACTTATTAGCTTTTTACATAAGTCTATTGTATAAACGTCTCAAAATTTATTTGACCACTCATCTATTGGTAGACTATTGAGGGTTGTTTTGTTTTGTTTTGTTTTTCAATTTTTCATTATTGTAACAATCTGGAAGTAAATATTCCCATGTCTAAATGTTTTTACCACAGCTCTGGTTTCTGGGGATAGATTCCCTAGAAAAGGAATCAATGGTTTTAAAGGATATATGTGTTTTAAGGCTTTTGATGAATATTAGGTTTATGTGTTTGAAGGCTTTTGATGAATATTAGGTTGCTTTCCAAAAGATCTGTCCCAATTACATTCCTACCAGTGCAGGACTAAGCATCATGAGGTTTTCCTCAATAGTCTTCTGGATAAAAAAAAAAAAAAATCCTGTTCAGGCCAGCAGATGGCATGGTGGCTAAGTTGCCAGACTGGCACATGCCAACCATGGTTTAAGTCCAGGACCCAGCAGCTTGAAAATCATACCAGGCTTGTGCACATGTGTGCCCAAAATCTCTAGAGGAGAACAAAGGTGAGGGGACTGCAACATGGCCATCACACCTAGGGGATGATTTCTCACTTTCCCTCTCTTTCTGGTGAGCACATGCGCCCTATGCCCCACCACCAAAAAAAATCCTGCTCTAACTCACTTGATTATTAGTAGAGATGAATATTCTTATGGTAACTAGGCAATTGTATTTCCTTCCTGTTTTATAAACTGTCCTCGTTGCTACTAGAATGTTAATATTACTTTAACCTTTTTTTTAATTGCTAAAGGGTTCATACATTAATCAGAGAGAGAGAGACAGACAGAGGAGGTAGAAGAAAGTGCTCCTCTATAGGGTATGCTCACACACCAATCCCTTATCTATTTCTTCATCTTGTTTTGACTTGGGGCACACGCACACATGTACCTGATATGTTTTTCAAGCTGCCAGGCTGGAATTCAAACCATAGTCTGTTATGTGGAATCCAGCTCCCTTAACCACTAGGTTATAGGGTCAGCCCTGTTATATTTATGAGCCAGGTGGTGGCACAGAGGTAATGCAAGTGGACTCACATAGGAAAGGTCCTAGGTTTATGTCCTGGGGTCTCTCTGAGCATGCTGGGTGTGTGTGCCCATGATCTGGGCTGGCTGAGACTAGGGGTGAATCACAGCATAAAGACCCTGTTAGGGTGCCTGTTGCTCTCTTTCTCTTAAAAGAAATTTAAAAAAATTGATAAGTATGTAAGGACCAGCAGATAGCATTGAGGTTAGGGCAGCTGGATTCCACATGGCCGACTGTGCAGTTCAAATCTCACACCTGGCAGCTTGAAACACATGCCAGAGGGACTAGCAGTTGGTATAATGGCTATGTCACTGGACTCCCATGTAGCCGACCATGGTTCGAGTCCCTGACCTGGTGGCTTAAACTCACACCGGGTGTGTGTGCATGCGTGCCCAAGATCCCAAGAGGAGAGACCAGCAGTTAGCGTAACGGCTATGTCGCTGGACTCCCATGTAGTCAACCGCGATTTGAGTCCCGGACCTGGTGGCTTAAAACTCACACCGGGCGCGTGTGCGTGCGTGCCCAAGATCCCTAGAGGAGAATGGAGGAGAAGGGATTGCAGCGTGGCCATCCCCCCGGGAGGTGATTTCTCGCTTTCTGTCTCCCTGTCTCTCTCTGTCTGGCGAGCGCATGCACCCTATGGCAAAAACCT